TTTATGGTTTAAGGTAGAAAAGTCAAAACTAAGAAGTCATAAAGGAGATTGATAAAGTTGACAATATAAAATTAGAAACTTATTGAAACAGAAGATACCATAAACAAGTTTAAGAGACAGGAGAAAGATGAGGAGAAAATATTTGTATCATGCTTGAGAGCAAAGGGTTAGTATCCAGGTGTCCATGTCCTCCAGCCAAAGATACCGGGAAACACCTATAGGCACTCATTGGAACACGAGAGGCTGTGCACCATGGGCAGCCTGCGGGACATTTTAGTAAGAGGCTGCTAAGAGGAGATTATTTTGTGATGTTGGCTTGCATTAGGTGTTGGAGCAAGTTTGTCAAAAAGCCAGAATAATTATTATCTAGGATGCGGGCAGAATCAAAGAAGTTAAAGGTGTAATTGGTAAAGTTATCAGCAGGCACCCATGCTAGCTGGTAAAGAGGCATTCATCGTCATTTTTGTGATTTGCACAGTGTTCTTCTTTTATCTGCACTCAGGTATGATTACAGAATGGTCATTTATTTTATTTTATTTTATTTTTATTTTTTAGAATGGTCATATTTTTGTCTTGCTCCATCACATGAATAACTCGATCTGATGTTGATGTTCTTTGAAATAGTTTCTGTTAAGTAGGGAATACCTGGACCTAGGTACTAATTGCAAACTAGTTCTATTTGACACCTGTCATTTTTTTTCTCACAGACTATCTAAAGAGCTTCTATAAGTCAGTAATAAAACAGTAAATATCGTGAAAAATTAGGGAAGGCTAGAACCAATTGACAAAAGAAAAATAAAAATGAATTATTAAATACAGGAGAAGATGCTCAAATGTACAATAGAGAAGTGCAAATTAAAAGAGTAAAATACTGTTGGTAGTTTTTTTAATTGGCCCAACCTTTTTGGAGGGCAATTTGGCAATATTTACCAAAATATTAACTGTGTATGCCCTGCAAGTAGGAATTCCATTTCTAAAAATCTCTACACAGAGTTGTATGCACATGTATACAAGAGGGATATTTAGAATAGTCATTGTGGCATGTTTGTAACAGTGAAAACGGGAATAATTAAATCACTGTCAAAGGGGAAATAATAAACTCTAGAATACTGAAAAAGGGTCAAGTGTAGAGTTTCTTCGTTTTATTTAAGAAACGCAGCTATGATGCCTTACAATGTTAGGTTACAAAGTTAAGTTTGAAGAGGTAAAATTTGGTTATGTATCTACTAAGTATAATTATTACTTTCCGACTCAAGATGGTGGACTAGCCACCTCAATGATCACTTTTCTTTTCCGTTAAATGAAGAGTACAGATGTTTTTAAAAAACAATTCCAGTGTAAAAAAAAACAACAAAGAAACAAAGGATGCTATTGACAGGAATTTCAGTAAACTTCTGGAAGAAAGAAAATGGATGTAAGATGGTCTGTGGAACAGCAGAGAAAACTACCAGCCTCTCTGAGAACTGCAGCACAGATGAGAGTCTGTCTTCCAGAAAAGAACCAGAGACTCTGGGTTCCAAACTCAGAGCCTGTGAACATAAGTGGTAAAAGTAGCTCATGGGCCAATTTCTGCTTGATTAAAGGATGGCCTGCCGACATCTTTGGGCCAGTTGGTCTCTTTTATTTCCTCTGATCGTATCCGGAAGGCATACATAGCATCAGAGGTTCTTGCCTCCAGGCTGAATCCCAGAGGAGTTTTCACTAAGAATCTGCTTTGGGATGCCCTAATTTGGGTAGGAAAGCCAGAAAGAGACACAGAATACAATCTGAGATAACTTCAGAGCTCCACCACAGGAAAAAGGCACCTCCTTTCAGGAAGGAAGTACACAAAAGTCCTCCATACTCTGAGTAAAGCTCTCTTTATTTCAGTAGATCTCAGTTTTGTTGAGATAGAATTCACATACCATAAATTCATCTTTTAAAAGTATACAAGTGAATGGTTTTGGTAAATTCACAGGTGGGTCCAACTGTCACCACAGTCAATTTTAGAATATTTTCATTCCCTCTAAAAGAAACCCTATGTCCTTCAGCTGTTACCTCCTAATTTCCCAATCCTCCCAGTGCCTGCCAACCACTAATCTACTTTCTATCTCTATAGACTTGCTACTTGGGACATTTCATATAAATGGAGTCACGCAATATGTGGCCTTTTGTGTCTGATTTCTTTTGTTCAGTGTAATGTTTCCAAGGCTGATCCATATAGCATATATCAGTACCTTGTTCCTTTTTATGGCCAAATAATATTCCATTGTATGGATGTACCACATTTTGTCTGTCCATCCATCAGTTGATGGGCATTTGGGTTGTTCCCACACAGGGTAGATTTTTAAAGCAGAGAACCCCCAGTTGGCATGTCCCACGCAACTGGCTGCCCCCAGCCCTGCCATTCAGGGAAGAGAGAGGCCTGTTGGAGAAATGGGTTTATATGATTACAGAGGAAAACCATGCTACCTTTTTCATTAAACTCCTGCTGAATTTATAAATATGAATAGATAATTAAAGATCACTAGAAAGTTTTTAAAAATCATCAATCAGGATGAAACAGAAGGAGCAAAATGAAAAACAAACTTGCCCCCAAGGGAAAAACAAGTAATTTAGGAAACATGTATAAGGTAAAATGAGGCTGTGGACATGGGGCACAGTCTGGAGTTTGCTAATTGCATCCTCTGGTATTAGTGAACTCATTCTTCCATCCTCTGTGTTTGTAATTCTGTTCATTATTGGTTGAACCTAGAAACTAAAGCAGATTCAAGTTCTTTTTTTTTTTTTTGGCAAAACTCATCCAAAGGTGTGGGTATGTTCTATCAGGAAACACTGGTGGTCTCCTTTTGTGATGTTAATAGGCATTGATGCCTAGATTCCATTAATTCATTAGGGGCTTGTATTAATTTAATTTCAAAGAAAAATTAATTTTCAAAACAAAAATTTTTTAAAAATATATGAACATTGGTATAGTAGATGTAAATTAAAAGAACAAAGCATACGCCAGTTCTAAAATGCTACCAACCCATTTCTCTGTTACAGCAATTGAGTCAGTTCTGGTATAGTCAGGAAACTGCTCTGCGACTTGCACAGGAGGCAACTGCGGCTGTAGGAGAGGGTGGCAGGTGAGATTCAAATTTTGTTTCTCTTGTTGCCTTATAATCTAATGTAATATTTTGAATGTCCTTCCTGGATGACAGATGGTTTATAAGAAGTCTGAACTGTAATCTGCAAAAATTGTAGGTCATGGTTTGCAGCACATGACAAATTAAGGCCCACTTCAACACTGAGTTTAGAGACCCACTCAGAACTCTATTCATTGTGGAATACCTTATCTCTGTTCCTTTTAACACTTTCTAACCTGTTTCTTGTCTTTATAAGTTACAGGCTGGGCACGGTGGCTTACACCTGTAATCCCAGCACTTTGGGAGGTTGAGGCAGGCAGATCACTTGAGGTCAGGAGTTCAAGGTCAGCCTGGCCAACATGATGAAACCCCATTTTTACTAAAAATACAAAAAAATTACCCAGGTGCAGTGGCATGTGCCTGTAATCCCAGCTATTGGGGAGGAGTAGCAGGAGAATCGCTTGAACCCGGGAGGCAGAGGTTGCAGTGAGCCGAGATCATGCCACCGCCCTCCAGCCTTGGTAACAGAGCGAGACTCCATCTCAAAAAAAAAAAAAAGATACAGACTTTTTTACAGACTTTTTTTTTTTTTCTTTTTCTTCTCTTTATCTTCTATGTAGAAGAAGGTACAGACTTTTAACTACCAAATTCCTTAAAAGTGAGATACTATAAAGTTTTTTCTCAACATTGACTGTTACACTAGTTTGCATTATTATTTCTTGTAAGAAAATCTGAGCATTCGGACCTATATGTATTTTTTAGTGAAGTAGTTGTTAACACTGTAATCTCTCTATTAAAGATGTTTCATGAGTGTGTTCATTTTGTTTTCTAGAATCGCATGTGTGAGTGCCCCCAGTGTTTACCAGAAACTCAGAGAGATGTGCAGAGAAGACTTTTCTGTATACATCTTTGAATATGACAAAAGATTTGCCATGTATGGAGAGGAGTTTATTTTCTATGATTACAATAATCCATTGGACTTACCCGAAAGAATTGCTGCACATAGTTTTGACATCGTAATAGCAGATCCTCCCTATCTTTCGGAGGAATGTCTCAGAAAAACATCAGAAACCATCAAGTACCTGACTCAGGGCAAGATTCTGCTGTGCACAGGTAGGTGCTGCATTTGATGCCTCAAGAAAGTCACTGACAGTGGCTATTCAGGTCTTAAGGGTCAAGAAGAAATCCTGAGTCCACCACTCCCTGTGTGATTTGTGAACAAATTATTTAACTCTTTGTGCCCTGGTTTCCTCATCTGTAAACTAGGACTGATAATATTCTCTGCCATTAAGGGTCCTAAAGAATTAAGTGACACATAAAGTACCCAACACTGAGTCTGGTGCATGGTGACTGCTTGATGAATATCAGCTGTTACTTTATGTACCATCATCATCAGTAGTAGTGGTACTTGATCCAACCTCTACACTTTTATCAAAAAGAAATTTGGAATCTATAGAGTTCAAAGAGTAGACTAGGTTCCTAAAAGTAGAAGAGTTTTCTTTTTGTTTTTCTCTGTAACCTCGAACCACTGGGCTAAGCAACCTCCCACCTCAGCCTCCCAAGTAGCTGGGACTTACAGGTATGCACCACCAGTCTGGGTTCAATATACTTTCTTAAGGCAGGCATGGCAAAATTCAGTAGAGTAAATCTGAGAACTTTAAGGTGGGAGGATTGCATGAGGCCAGGAGTTCTAGACCAGCCTAGGCAACATAGCAAGGCCCCTTGCTATTTTTAAAAACAAAAATTTTAAAATCAGCCAGGCGTGGTTGTGTGGGCCTATAGTCCCAGCCATTTGGGAGGTAGAGGTGGGATGATCGCTTAATCCCAGGAGGTGGAGACTCCAGTGAGCTGCGATGGTGCCACTGCCCTCCAGCCTGGGTGCAGAGCAAGACTGTCTCAAATAAAAAGGAAAAACCTGAGAACTAAAATATTGCCGACTGGCCGGGGTCTTTACTTCTGGGCACTGGTGGTGTCCACACCCTTCACCACTGTTCCGGGCGCTATACCCCAGTCCGTCGGGGCCTTGTGTGTCCCCTGGGCACCCTGCTGGGAGCAGGGCTGGGCCAGAAGTGGAGCCCCGGGGGGCCTGTTCTGGTGCCACGGAGCTGAGCATGTGGGGAGGGCCGCTGTGTTTGCACACCCGCCGCGGTTCCCTGCAGGCTCGTTCACTCCGCTGCCTCCTTTCCTCTGTGCTCCGGCAGGCAGCGCTCTGGATTCGTGGAGTGTACATTTTAGTTTTAGGGGATACTTAAAAAAAAAAAAAGTAAAATAGACGAAAGACAGGAAGCATTAACTCTGAGAAGAGTAACAGAGACTCAGGCACCTGCACTCTGCCCCAGAGACCTGAGGGTCAGGAGCCACGGTTGCAGCCGCCCACGAGGACAGTATCGAGGCGGGAAGCCCCCAGTGCCTAACGGAGGGGACGTGGGCGTTGGGGCTTTCTTTGGAAGCCCAAGATGGCAGAACGCAACTTGTCTGAAGACATAAGACATTCGCTTTAGCTTGACCGAAGAGGTTTTGGGGAGCGTGGATCTGGGCACCGTGGGCTGTTGCTGAGAACTAAAATGTTACCAACTGACCGATCTCTTTAATTCTCAGCACCCGAGGTGTCCACCACCCCAGGGAGGGCGGTGGCCTGCAAGGAGGGCAGGGCAGGGGCATCGGAGTTGGTTTGAAGATGAAGTCGGGGGAGCTCACTATGCTCGAGTGTGGAGGGGAAGAGAGGGCAGGAATCAGGGCTGTGGATGCCACCTCTTAACAGATGTCTCAGGGGAGCTGGCCGTGCGTGGAGGGCCCGGGGCCGGGAGAAATCGGGAGGAGATAGCAAAAGATGGTGGGAATGCATTCGTACCTATTTGCAAGATTGAATATTACTGAAAGACTCTTGGCTCAACGTTGGGAAATGCTAGTTTTTAGTAATTATTTTTGTTTTCCATATATATATATATATATATATATACACACACACACACACACAAAATACATGTGTGTGTGTGTGTGTGTGTGTGTGTGTGTGTATGTGTATAATCTGCTTCTAAATTTCTAAGTGTCCTGGCTCTGCAGAGGTAGGAAGATAATTCATTCAATAAAAAAAGACATGGAAAAAAGTTGGTAAATTGCAAAAACGTTGGAGAAGGTGAAAGGGAATGTAAAGAAGACTTGCTCCCCCTCCACCAACTTGTGAATTGTCACCTAATTGCCCCCGGTGGTCCTCCTAGAGCCCCTCTCACAGCTCAGAAGGCACTGAGCTCCGGCTGGGCTGTCACTCTCTGAATTCACTTGCTTTGTTCTCTTCAGGGGCTGTCATGGAAGAACAGGCAGCAGAACTCCTTGGAGTGAAGATGTGCACGTTTATTCCAAAACACACCCGGAACTTGGCAAATGAGTTTCGCTGTTATGTGAATTATGATTCTGGGCTGGACTGTCTGATCTAATTACAGATGGTGACATAACACAGGAGGGAAACCTCTCACATTCCCCCTTTTTTATTTTCCTAGTAGATTGAAAAGTTATAATCTCTTCCCCTTCCCCCAAAACTGGAGCTGTCCCTGGCCTGATTTCCAAAATAAAGTACATGACCTTCATTATTGTTTCCTTAGGGAGGGCCTCCCTAGAGCTCAGTCTTCTGCCAACCTAAATCCGTGGAATTCAAGCTGGAAGAAACCTTAGAACCTGTTTGATCTACTCTCCTCATTTAACAGAACAGTTGTGTGGCTCGCCCAAGGGCTCCTGAATGAGACAGGACTTTGGCCTCTGCCTCGAGCCAGAGAAGTCTGATAAAATCCTAGGACTTGTGAGGACTCCCACCCCCCTGTCCCACCCCAGCCCTCCAAGGAGACAGACTTACCTCCATGAAATAAGGTAATAATCCAATAACTAGTGTCTGAGTGCTTCTTGGGGCTCTCCTCCTCCTCCAGGTTCTAGGGGGACTGCGAGGGTGACAGGTGCCCAGGTGCCTCCCCATGTGGCTCAGCCTCAGCACCTTCCCTCTGAACGGCCTGAGAAAATGAAAGTGCCATGTGTAAATCAAACACCAGGACCAAAAAATGGAGCTGGGGAGTATGCTAGATTCTCACTATTCAGAAAATATTCCTCTGCGCATACCCCAGAGGACATCTCAGCAATCGGAAGTGAACACACAGCACGGCTGAGTCTCCAGGGCATCATGCTGAGTGAAAGAGCCACTCTGCAAAGGTCACACACTGGATGTTTCTAGGTGTGACATTCTCAGGGAGGAGAGATTTGTGGGTGCAGGGGGAATATCAGGATGGGGCGAAGGGGATGGGCAGACCACAAAGGGGACTTATCCTTGGTGCTGGCATGTTCTTTGTCTTGTCTGTGGTGGTGGCTTCATGAATCTGCACATGTGGCAACATTGGGTAGAAACACACACATACACACAGATGAGCTCGTGTGAAACTGCTGAACATAGAATGGGGTCTGTGGGTTGAGCCAGTGTCCATTTTCTGATTGTGACATTGCACTGTAATTGCATCAGATGTTACCACTAGGTAAACTGGGTGAAGGGCATAAGACCTATCAGTATATTTTTGCAGTTTCCTGGGAATCTACAATCATTTCAAAATAAAAACTTTCTGAAAAATTAACACCCTCTTCCTGGGAAAGGATTATACTTCCCCGTCTCATATGACTTGCTTTGGCCAATAAAATGTGAAAGGAGGCGGGGTGTGGGGGCCCACACCTATAATCACAGCACTTTGGGAGGGCAAGGCAGGCGGATCACTTGAGTCCAGCAGTTTGAGACCAGCCTGGGAAACATGGTGAAACCTTGTCTCTACAAAAAATACGAAAAAAAAATATTAGCCAGGCATGGTGGCACACTCCTGTGGTCCCAGCTACTTGGGCAGCTGAAGTGGGAGGATCACCTGAGCCCAAGAGGCCAGGCTGCCATGAACCCGTGATTGTGCCACCGCACTCCAGCCTGAGTGACAGAGCCAGACCCTGTCTCAAAAACAAGAACAGAAAAAACCCAAAATGTGAAAGGAAGTGACGTGTCATTTCCAAACTCTGGCTGTGAGTGGAGCAGGACCACAGCCTCTACCTGCCAGGGATGTGAGGAGAGCCAGGAATGAGCCTGTGTTATTGAACCAGGGGCTCATTAGCCCTAGAGCAAAACCCAGTCTGTTCTGACCGAGCCAGAAAGGAGGCCCAGGTCGGGGAAGCTTGGGGGACAGGCCTGGTCTTTCTTGCTGTTTCTAAGCCCTCGGCTGCCCAGTTCTGGACAACTTATAATTTAATTTAAAAATCACTCTTTGTGGTCCAGACGTGGTGGCTCACGCCTGTAATCCCAGCACTGTGGGAGGGCGACGTAGGTGTATCACCTGAAGTCAAGAGTTTGAGACTAGTCTGACCAACATGGTGAAACCCTGTCTCTACTAAAAATACAAAAATTAGCTGGGTGTGGTGGCAGGCACCTGTATTCCCAGTATTCGAAGCTACTCGGAGGCTGAGGCAGGAGAATCGCTTGAATCTGGGAGGCAGAGGTTGCAGACCGCAACCTCTGAGCTGAGATCGCAGCATTGCACTCCAGCCTGGGTGACAAGGCTGGAGTGTTTTTATGAGACATTGGTATTTTTATCAGTGTACAAGCACCTGGCCTCTGTATTCAGTAAGTGTTCTTTAAAAAATAACCCCTACCTGATTATTTCCATACGTAGTTTGCTCTGTATGTAGCAAGTAACAAATTACATACAGAGCAAACTACATATGGAAATAATCAGGTAGGGGTTATTTTGTTTGTTATATTTTGTTAATAATAATAAGGCAGGCAGGGGTTATTTAGTTTGTTACTATAATTTGTTACATTGTAACAAATTACATACAGAAATGCAATGTTTAACTTAGGAACTGTGGGAGAATATTAGTCTAGAAATAACAGAATTGCAGTTGTGCTATAAATCCAGCATTTAGTTGAAGAGAAACCTTATTTCTTCACAGGAGGCGAGGGACACAAGGAACAAAGTTGGATTCCTATCAAAAATGTATAAACATTGTAACTTAGGAGGCTTATGAAATGAGGTAATGACATTTTTTTGTTTAATAAGCAGCCAACATGTTTCATGGCTTTGGACCCCAGCGTGATTTTGATTTTAGGAAATCTGTGTTTATATATGATCCACTTCTAGGTTTCATAAAAGGCCGTCTATACCTCTGCAACCTTATGTTAAAAAAGAAATAAAACTCATTAGGCCTAGAGTGTTCCTTAGGGCAGTTAATCAGGTGGGAGGCGTCGGGCGGGGCAATGCTCACAGTCAGTCATGCCATCCGGGACCCCCAAGGCACACTCACCTCCTGTACCTTAGCAAAGCACTGCAAAGGTTAAAAGGAATGTTTTTTGTTTGTTTGTTTGATTTTTGAGATGGAGGCTTGCTCTGTCGCCCAGGCTGGAGTTCAGTGGCATGATCTTCGCTCACTGCAATCTTTGCCTCCCAGGTTCAAGCAATTCTCCTGCCTCAGCCTCCTGAATTTTTACCAAAAATTTTTTTGTAATTTTTTATTTACAAAAAATAAAATTTTTGTGTTTTTAGTAGAGACAGGGTTTCACTATGTTGGCCAGGCTGGTCTTGAACTCCTGATCTCAGGTGATCTGCCTGTCTCAGCCTCCCAAAGTTTCTGGGATTACAGGGGTGAGCCACAGTGCCCAGTGATTTTTAAAGCTGGGACCACAAGCCACCATGCCCAGCTAATTCTTTGTTTTTTTAGTAGAGATGGGGTTTCACCGTGTTAGCCAGGATGACCTCGTGATCTCCTGACCTCGTGATCCACCTGCCTCATCCTCCTAAAGTGCTGGGATTATAGGCGTGAGCTACCTTGCCCGGCCTAAAAGGAATGTTTCAATCCACGTCTTTTTTAAGTCCTTCCTGATGAGTGGGGAGGGGCAGAATAATAATTTCTGTTTTGCTAACAAAATTCCAGTACTTCGCAGAAACTCCTCAGATGTGTGTCTGGGGTGATGAGGACCTGAACAGCAAGAACAGATGAAAGGCAGGGGGAACTTTAAGACCCCATTTCAGATGGGGTACCATACTCTTTCCCCTTCGATTCCTTCCTAAAATCAGAGCTAGCACCGATTACTAAAAATGACGATTTCCCTGCTGAAAGAGATGCAGTAAGACATAATGAGATGACTGGTCCCTGACTGTGGAACTGTTGGTATTTGCAGAGTGTTTTTGGGTTGCTGTTCCCAAATGATTCCATTTTTATAGAACAACCATATAATTGAAATATTATCACTTGGGGGCTGGTGCAGTGGCTCACGCCTGTAATCCCACCACTTCGGGAGCCTGAGGTGGGTGGATCATTTGGGGTCAGAAGTTCGAGACCAGCCTGGTCAACATGGTGAAACCCCATCTCTACTAAAAATACAAAAAGTTAGCCAGACATAGTGGTGGGCACTTGTAATCCCAGCTACTCAGGAGGCTGAGGCAGGAGAATTGCTTGAATCCAGGAGGCAGAGGTTGCAGTGAGCTGAGATCGTGCCATTTGCACTCCAGCCTGGGCAATAG